CCGGCTATATGCTCTAGAATTTTATCTTAGAATTTAAATTTTAGTTCATGTTACATAATTTTGATATTAAAACATTTTTGATTCATAAAAAATGACTTCTTTAATTTTAACAAATGGGAGATAACTTTATCACCAATTTTGTGTTCAATTCTAAAATTTGAAATATTTGCTAACCTGAAAATAAAGCTATCATAAATAAAATTTTTTTAATTAATTTAAAAGTGTTTTAAGAGGAAAGTAATAAAAATAATACATTTTTCTATCATAGACCTGTTAAACTCAGAATTCTTGAAAATGCAAAAAAAATATGTAAGGGAATTAACGCTTGCTTAAATTTGAATCCTCAGGGAAGTTGGTTTTGAAAACAATATTGACACATATGGTGTTGTTGTTGGTTTATTAAATTCAATCTTTTGCCTTGGGTAAGTCTAGACTCACGGCTTGCTGTACATATTAGTAAAATGATACATTTGCTGAGCAAAATTTAATGACAGCACACAAAATAAATAAAATGGTTTTTTCTCCCTATTTTATTTATTTTACAGTTCTTTCATTGGTCCCATGCTTGGTGGTTTTCTGATTGAGGAAATGGGCTTTCGATATGGTGCTACGCTAATTAGTGGTATTTATTTTTTTGTGGTGAGTAACTTGTCAGTCATGTAAGTGTCTTGTAGTGACTTAGAACAAAGGCCTCTGACAAAATCTCCTGACACCTTCACCCAATGTTTTAAATTGGTCTTAATAACCCTTACATAAAGTTATTTGATCATCGCAAGAACTTGTTTTGAAATTTTAAAATAAAAATAATTTATAAAAATCTTTGGTAGATGATTTGTTGCGGTGGATTTTTCCTGTGTCGACATTTCAAGGCGAGGTCATGTGGGACATTTATTTATGAAATGTTGAACACAGATGACGAATGTGTCAACAGCGACTACCTAACCGTGTCTCAGGTATGATGTCCCCTTACGTTGGAGGGGATTAAAGTAGAGCAGCATTTGGGCAGTGGGACAGTGTTGTTGAATGGTAGAGCATACGACTGCAAACCCAAAAGTGTCAAGTTCGAATTCCGGTTCAAGTTTGTAAATGTCTCTGAGTCCACCTAGCTCTAATAGGTACCTGACTCATGTTAGGGAAAGTAAAGGCAGCTGGGAATAGAGCTGACTACACTATCCCTTCATATGCCGAGATCACAGAAATGGGTGAGCCCTACTTCACCTGCCCCACGGACCATCAGATTTGAAAGGGAACTTTACTTTTTACTTTCTCGTATATACGAAGTATAGAGAAAGTCTTGTAATCGTGGGAAAAAAAATCGAGATTTTTACAAATCTCGACGGAAAAACATAATTTTGCAATCTTGTCCGTATGTCTGTGTGTCTGTCTGTGTGTCTGTCTGTGTGTGTGTCTGTCTGTCTGTCTGTCTGTCTGTGTGTCCGTGTGTAAACACGATAACTTGAGTACCGTTACAGCTAGGTTGATGAAATTTCATATATAAGTATTTTATCAAAATCGTAGATCCGTATCAACCGGAAGTGGTACTTTTTCTACTTTAAATTTTTCAAAAGCCTATAACTTGAGTACTATTTCAGATAGATAAATGAAATTTGATATGTGAGTAAAAGATCGAATTCTCTACCTTCTGTCAAATTTTGAGTAATTTCCGTTCATCGGAAGTACTTATTTACGCTATTTCCGATTTCTCAAAAAACGCATGTAAATTTATAAAGTACTAATAATATTGCGCACTATTATGCACATCTTTATTTAGCGTTCACTTGGTGTGCATTTCTTTTTTCTACGAGATTATATTCTATTTTAAAAGTTTGAGTATTTAAAATGGATTAAAAATCATGTCTAGAAGTCTATATCCCGAGTTGCCATCCCCCGTAGTGTTATATTAGAATATTCGAGAAAGTTTAGGGGAGATCACTCCCAGTTTATTTACACTGAGGACATTATTTGTGCAGATCTCTCATCATTGAAGGGTTTGGAGTATATGATGTAGAGACTGACAGTGTCTGCTCAGTGGAAACAGAAACATCTTTTTAGCTGTAGATAGTATTAGCCACTGATGAAACAGTTGACACAGTTGTTTTGCTGCTTTAGAATGATTTACTGCTACCAAATTTAAGACTTGCCGGCTCATCAGACAAATTTAAGACTTGATGGTTGATTAGACAGATTTAAGACTTGGTTTATCAGACAAATTTAATATAATTATAGTCTGAAACTATAAAAGAATAATCTTTTTCTAATCATAATTTATTAATCGGATGATGCATTGTTAAACTGAAAAAGAATTGTAAAAATTAAATTCATTTTAATTGTAATTTTACTTAGCAAGTTATTAATCAACAATACAATGTACATTTACAACAAACCGTACACAAATTTCATACTCTTAAAAAAGTAAATGTCACAAAGATGCAAATTATATACTCAAACAAATTTATTTCACAAAATCCTCTACCCACTTTTTACCATGCTGTCTGTTTGTGGTTGCATACTTTTTTTGGGAGCATGTATTACAGATTGTTATTTAATTAAAAACATAATTTTCAGTTAATATCATTTTAAAAAAAAAAAAAAAAACAACCTATGGGCTACTTGTGACAAATGTTTGTATTTAGGAGAAATGTTGAGGAACCTACCACTACAACTACATGTTTTAATGTAAATGAAGTAACTCTCGCTTGTTATATGTTATACATTTTGTTGAAATAATACCTGAAGAAATGATCAAATTTTATAATCAACACTTAGCAATTTCAATTTTTTATCTATTGAAATAAAATTCATTCAACTACTTTAAAAAATTTGATTTTAATTTTTTAACAATATATTAATTAATATGACAAATTTGAAATCAGTATTAAAATAAAATAAACCTGTAAATTGCATTTAGTACCAATTGTAAACACAAATATAAGCCCTTAATATTTAAATCTAAAGCCAATTATTTTTTCTCCGTCACATATTTTTTAATGACTCATAAATTTATTTATAAACAATTGTAAAAAATAAGGATTTAACAGTTTTTAATTTTAGTTTTTCTACCTTCATTTTGATTATATATTTTTTTCTGTTAGAACTACTTTATGTCTTATTATCTAATTAACTTTCCATTGTTTATACAGTTGTTAAATTCCTGCCCTGTGTATTTGTAGATTAAAACTAAAACATGCTGAACTCTGCTGCAGCTACAATTGTTTACATTGTGTTAAATTTAACACAGAATTTTAACATGTTCTCATAATTTTTACATTGATTTACAATAATGTACATGCTATATTTATTTGAATAATGAAAACATGCATGATGAATTCTTCTTCTTCTTCGTTCTTAATTATTAGTGTTGAAGGTGATCGAGATTTATCTGCCAGTGCGTTTGAACTCGAGACTTTGTTCGAATTTATCAACCATGAGCTTTTTGCCGACTCGACCACGCCTCCAACACAATTAAGCGTTACGTGTCAACTGGTTATGCGCCATTGAGACCATTGACTCCTGCTTTTTTTTTTTTGGATTTGCTTCCATAGCCTTTGTCCAACCAAGAACAAACTACAAGGCAGCAGTTGTTTAATTTTGGAGTTGTCTCTCCTAGAAGAGTGGCTGTCCCCAGCTAACGAGCCTCATCTGCCCGGGGGTTTGAACTCGAGACTTTTCGATTTTGTAAAGATATAAGATTAAGTCAATATTGTAAAAAAAAACAACAACTAAAAGTCAATAAGTAGGTTACTTTATTTATTTGTTCCATGACGTTATTTAAGTTGCCAACCCACCAGTAATGTTTTCTTTTACTTTAAACCTTCCAGTAAGTTGAAACTAGAGTGATTTGTCACTTGGTCTGTTGGCGTGTCTCAGGTTGGAAAATCTTTCACCTGATTCCAGGGCATGGTTTCTTTCAGACATATTTCTCCTGGGTGAGGAGGGCACTTGAAACTTCATGGGGGCGCCCTTAAATTCCTGGGGCAGACACTGGTTTTCCAGAGGCGTAGCGACCTAATCCGGCGCCCGGGGCGGACTATCAATTTTGCGCCCCCGCCCCATTTCTATAAATAGTTGTTCCTGTCTGTGAAAAAGTGCACCCCCCACCCCAGTTGGGAAGATTTGTAGCGCTTCTTACCAGTTACTATCCTGAAACAATTTCTATTTCGGTGTCACAAAGTTGTTAAACCTGTGTGTGAAGCCTTGTAGTCGTTTATTTTTCGAAGCTTTGACAGTATATAATTCGATGCTTCAGCTTAAAATGAGCTTTCAAATTAATTTCTCTACCCCTTTTGGCGCCCCATTAAGGTCGGCGCCGGCCCACCCCTAGCTACGCCTCTGTGGTTTTCTATAGAAATTAATTTCATCCGAAGAGGAAAGAAGTGAGGTGGGATGGATTGATGTAGGCATGCCTGAAAAAGACTGCTCATAAAGTGCCCATTAACTGCGGACACAACTCATCTAGGAGAGAAAACGCCAAAATCATAAAACCGCTGCCGGGCCATAAGGCACATGACATGCAGAGTTTCTCTCAGGCATCTCTTTGGGGGGGGGGGGGGCAAAGACCTTGAAAAAAGTCTACTGCCCCCCCCCCGATCAAAATGTAATAAACTCTTTTACGTGTCCGCGCCCTCCGGAATATTAAGTCCCACCCCCCCCCCGTAAGTGTTAGCGCTTTCTGGAAAATTTAGTCCACTCCCCACCCCGAGAATATTAAGCCCCCCCCCCCCCGGAAAAAAAAGTCTGAAAGAAAAATTGATGACATGTTGACACGTAAAATTTATTAATTGTGTTGGACGAAATCCCCTCCAATAGAACAGTTAAGAAACGAAGGAGACGAAAAAGATATCACCAGACTCTTGGATGCTACTTAATCTTGTTGCCTCCCCTCTAAATACTAAACATGGAACATTGTAATCCTTACATAAATTATTTAACCCTACTTTTTACTTTTACATAAATAAATTAATACTCAGTTGAGTCTATTTATTTTTAGAAAAATATCAATTTTACAGGGTCTTAAACCTGGGTAACACAGTTAGCCGGTTAACCATCTTTTTAAAATACTGCTGAGTTGTCACCCCTAATTCCTTCTCTTTAAGTCTGACCCTCTGCCTAAAAAGCTCCGCAGCGAATGAATACAGCTCCACATCTAAAAGATTCTTCGCAACTACCGTATCTCGCATTTCCGGTGTCACGGTCACATTTGTCGCACGTGTGACGGGCGAACTCCGCAGCTTCCTGTCTATCGACAGGCTAAACGTTGTTTCAAACAAAAACTGAGATGCCTCCTGTTGTTCTGTGAGGCCGAAGTAATCCATGGCTAGAAGATTTTCTTTGGCACTTTTTAGTAGAGTCTCACGGATGTAACGGTCACTGAGTCCGGTTCTGTTGTAACAGTTGACGAGTGATAGGTTGGCCAACATTCGGGTCATTCTGTTAAATCCTAAATTGTACCTTGAAGTTTAAAGAGTAAAAAGGTTTATTGTAATATATATATATATATATATATATATATATATATATATATATATATATATATATATATATATATATATATATATATATATATATATATATATATATATATATATATATATATATATATATATATATATAATTCTCTACGTGGGGACCATGCGGGACACCGCCAGAGTTTCTTCCAGGTATCTCCCCGAACGAAATGAAATTTATATAATTTATATATAAAATATATACTTTTAACAGTGTCGTCCCCCCCCCTTGAAGAAAGTCCCCCCGAAAATTTCAAGTGTCCCCCCCCCCCCCCCGGAGAAATAAGTCTAGAAGAAACACTGGACACCGCGCGCCCTCGCTCTCTAGGCATATCGCTACCACCCCCACCCCCACCAGCTGTTCACGCCAAACTTTTACAATCGTCGTGACGGCTATTAAGGGCTGATAATTTAGTATTTAAACGATTTGAAACTAAAGGAAGGTCACAATTTCTGCTTGATACTTTCATTGTCGTCTGTAAACTGTTGTCACGGACGGCTGCTTTCACGTCGAATTCACAAATTATGAATGACTGAAAAGTAGAAAATAAATCAACTAAATAGTGGCGTATGCTAAGCCGTGGGTCGGCTCGTAAAATATAATTTTTCTATACTTTACGTTGAAAAATACAGCGATGAATGTTTTTTTTTTGCGCGCGCTAAGCTTAGGATAACAAATTCAATAAACTTTAACTTGTACTAGGTTGAGTTGTGTAAAGTTCCCTATTCGAACCTGACGGACCATGGTGCAAGTAAAGTAGAGTTCACCTGTTTCAGTGACCTCGGCATATGATTGAAATAGTGTGGTCGGCACTATGCTCAGCCGCCTTTACTTTCCCAAATATGAGTCAAGTGCCCATTAGAGCTGGGTTGACTCAGTGACGTTCTACGGACTTGAACCCGGATTCGAGCACGATACTTTCAGAAAAGCAGTCTAGCGTTCTATCACTCGGCCATGCCGTCCCATGTCTAGTAGTGTGGGGTGTTATTAATTAAAGCACGAGTTATCACCCCTGCTCATTAAAAGGAAACTTGCCTTCATAATATCGCAGCTTTCATTTCGGGTCAAATTTGAGTTACAAGATTTGACCACACATCACAGACGATATTGTGATCTGAGCAAACCTTTGAAAAATATTTTGCTTTCGAGACGTCCTTACAGGACCTCACGAAGACGATTTTACCCCTCCCCCACCCCCTCACCCCCATCACCATAAAAAAGACAGCCTCATGTTTCAGCCCCTCCTACGCAAATTGAAGTTTCAAACTAAATTTTTAATAGATATTTTAAATCTTAAGCATTAAATAGACTGATTCATCTTTGATCAATTTTATTGCTATTTAGTGATATCTCGTGATATCTCGTTGTATGATTTTTAAGTCCTGAACTGCGAAATAACTCTAAACAAAAATTAAGTTAAAAACAACTACTTTTCTTTTAAAAATAAAAAAAATGTAAATTCATACTTGTTGACTCCCTGTCACTCCATAAAAATGGCAGCTAAAGTTAATCCACCCCCCCCACACACACACACCAAGGTGTATGACATCATGTACGAACGACCACCTTAACTTTTTTTTTCTCGCAACATCGATAGAAAAATACTATCATAATGAAATGTTAGAACAACCCCCCCCCCCAAAAAAAAAAACCCTTACACTACTGTTTTTATAGTAATTCGATAAACGCAAATTGAAAACAATATAACAACTGCTTATGGATAAACAATAAACGACGTCACGCTTTAAAACATTTTTTTTACCTTCCCTCCCTACCGTCACACATTGTAACAAAACGGCCTGTCCTCAAGGTTGTCATTTTCGTTTTGTTAAACAATGATTTCATTCTTAACTATTAACTGGGCTCGATCAGCTTTGATTATAGTAATCAATATTTATTACATATTACACTATTAAAAAAGCCTTTTAAAAATTGCGAAAGAATCGCTGAAATATGGTATCGAACACTACTCTTAAAATGTACACGTGTGTACTCAAACTTTCTAACCCCCCCCCCCCCCTCGTCACACACTATCACAAAAGTTCGACCCGACCCCCCATCCCAACTGTGAGCGTGACGTCATTTATGGATAATCCATATTTAGCAATTTAAAGTTTCTTTCTTTTTAAAGTAATGCAATTAATACACACAGTTACTAAAACAACAACAAAGCAAGGACAAAACATTAAAAAATGGTCAACAATACAATAACAAAACAACAGCAAAACAAGAACAAAACAACAATAACAAAATAATAAAAAAATTAACATTAACATAATAGCAAAACAACAGCAACAACTAAAGATTAACAAAACAATAGCAAAACAGTACACAATAACAAAACAACCACACAATAGAAAAACAAAAACACAATAACTGTTTACTTGCAACTAATGAAGTCATCAAAGGAAACATTCCGCCATGGGCCACCATCAGCACACAGGTGAAGCTCCTCTCTAGTCGCGTACCGTTGGTTACACTTGTATCTCTTGGGCCAGTAGGCTCCCCTTCTGACGTGCAGCCATTCGCTGAGAAATCTTGAAACGGGATTTCTTAAGAATGTCAGGTAGTGGTAGCTGTAAGGGGAGGAAACTATGTAAAGTGGTATCTGTAAGGGGAGGAACTATGTAAAGTGGTATCTGTAAGGGGAGGAAACTATGTTTTTTTTGTTGTATCTGTGAGGGGAGGGAAGTATGTTGTTATAGTGGTATTTGTGAGGGGAGGGAACTATGTTGTTATAACATTATCTGTAAGGGGTGGGAATTATGTTTAATGCTTGTATTTATGAAGTGAGGGAACTATGTTATTATAATATTATCTGTGAGGGGAGGAAACTGTTTTGTAGTGGTATCTAAGAGGGGAGGTTATTATAGTGGTACCTGTCAGGGGAGAGAATTATATTTAATGTAATATCTAAGGGGAGGAAACTGTTTTACAGTGGTATATATAAGGGTAGGGGAACACCATTTGGTAGATAACCTGGGTTCGGATCCCAGACTTGACTTCGTTAATGAAAACTCTCGTTATATTTTTTTTCGAAACTTTCTGTGGCTACTTGTTCATGTTCTGTGAATTATTAATTTTTTAAAGATTCATGACTCAACTATTTAACTAAATCATCTTTCGAAACTCACCTAACCAAATTTATTTTAAGTTTCGCTACTAATTTTCTTAAACACAATTAGTGAATTATTTTCATAAAACGGATAAAAAGTTTATATGGTTCATTGAATTCAGTGTTTCTTTCAGATGGAAGTATATATTTGGAATATAAATTATATTTCATTCGGGAGTCGGTAACCCAAAGATACCTTAAAAACCTGACTGAGTTGTTTATTTTTTTGACATTAATTAAAAGTTCCACGACTTACTTTCTTTGAGTTCTGTTCGGCTCATGCTCCACAAACCACGGGTCAACGCAGGCGGTCAGCTCCGTCCAGTCGGCGTGTAGACCACACTTCTGTCCGCGCGTGAACCAGCCAAAGAACCAGGTCCTGTTGCCCTCTGCCCAGCACTCACACAAGGCACCGCTCTGACACCTACAGGGAGGAACACTGGACAATGAGCTCATCAGCTGACGCTTGAAGTGAGTGCCTCCTGTTTTTTGAATATGCAGGAACACAAACACGTCCTCATCGTTTAGATCGACTTTATAATCCCGTACCAAATCTTTAGTTTTGAAGAAAAATGTAACATTGTTTTCGTTCGTACTTGTAAATATTCTGTTTTTATACTGTGTTGTGATGATATTGTTCCTTATGAACGAAACTAAACTTTTATGATTAGAAATTAAAGAGTTACTCCAGTCTGTAATAACTAAGAAGACACCACAAACTGTTACCAAAAGCACAAAAGATGCAACTCTAAGCTTGCTAAGCATGATTCTAAAATACCACGCAACCAAACTAGGCTTAGTATTTTGGTACACTAGTCACATAATTATTACAACACTAAATGTTTAGAATTTCTTTTTAATACATTAATTAACAATTAGCTTTAAGTAATGATTTTAAAAAAATCGTTTGAAGTTTTAATCCTGGGATTATAATTAACAGATTAATAAGGCAACCTGTTGAACATCTGGCGAAAATAAACCACGCAACGACCTTTTAAGATTTATTACATCACCGTGTGTTGTTAATAGCTTCAACATTTTAAGTCATGTCAATAAATACCTTATGCATACACTGATAAAACGTGCCTGACCCCCACCCACAGCCTGACCCCTGCCCTACATGGGGTAGAACATGTATCGAACTTGTATTTGTCTACGTCATATTAATCGTTTTAATCCCGCAATCACTCACGAGAAATTCCCCACCTCCCCACCCCCTTTTCCTAGTTTCACAGTATCACAGGCTGTGCGATAAGGGTGAGTGAAAGGTAATATTTTTTAACTATCGGGATGGTGATAGTTCAATTAGAGTTGTTTGCTACGTTAAAGTTGAGGCTAGGGTCAGGATAAAAGATTAGGATTGGGATATTGAACAACGCAGCAGTTACATGACTGAGAAACTGAAGCATGACATTCAATTGATGGTAAAATAACCGGCTATTTGTAGAAACTGATGCATGACATTAATTTGATGGTAAAATAACCGGCTATTTGCAAAAACGGATGCATGACATTCTCTTGACATACAAACTAATACATAGTCCTCGTTTGATGGTAGAATAACCGGTTATTCTAAAGGGGTCTCTAACAAAAGCCCAAATGACACTTGCCATAAACCATTTTGTCCGAAGGCCATTTTCCGAATGGACGTTAGCCTGAATGCAACAAATGTCCGAATTGACTTTTGCCCGATTAGTTATTTGCTCATTTCTTCAATGCCATGCTATATTATGAAAAAAATATTTTATGGATCAAAACTCACGCCTACAATTAAAACTCAAATTAAAAAAAAAAACAATTGAAGACTTTTGTGTGTGTTTAAAAGTTTAAGGCTAAATTGTGATATAAAAATAAAAGGTAAAACAAAAAGTGTAAAACAAAATTAAAAAAAAATATCTATGATACTAGAATAAAATAACAGATTCTATTAAGTGAAGGAATAAACGCATTATGAATTAACAACCTTCACGGACGGCTGCTTTCACGGGGGGGGGGGGGGGGGGGGGGGAGGGTAGTGTCGAATTCACAAAGTATGAACTGCTGAAACGTGGAAAATAAAACAATTAAATAGCGGCGTACGGTGCGAGTCAGCTCGTTAGACTATATTTGGTTCCCGGTTACAATTTTCTCAAGTTATAGAGTGTACCATGTAGGCCTATCTGTCGTATGGTCTATCTGGTAAAGTTTTTCATGTCAAAGAGTGTATCATGTATCTGTGCTAAAATCTATGTGGTAAAGTTTCTCGTGTCATTGAATGTATCATGTATCTTTACGAATATCTATCTTGTGATAATAGCATCACGTTTATTTTACACCTTTAATGTATCCATAAAATTTTGTAATAATACAATATTTGATTATCTGATACATCATTAATTCTTGTGTGAGAAAACGTTATGTGTGTTATAGTTTTTTTTTTTATGAAAGAGGTTTTTCTTTTTACAGCTTTTTCTTTCATTAAAAAAAAGATGCTAAATCATTAACAAAAATAATAACACATATTTGTATGCAGAGGCGGTTGACACCGGGCGACACCATTTAGGAGGGTGACACTAAGGAAAAAAATGCAAAATATATAGAAGAAATATGTTTTTGGCCAATTTAATGAACGATTAATTAATAAGTATTTTAAGTACAAATAGGCGATGCGACAAGGCGGGGATGGGGGGGGGGGGGGGGTGACACCATAACACAAACATCCTAACTATAAAGAAAATAATGATACATCCAGCCTTATTAATAACCGATTTTAGGTAAACATCTTTAATTTAAAAACTTTAAAGCTAGTATATATATATATATATATATATATATATATATATATATATATATATATATATATATATATATATATATATATATATATATATATATATATATATATATATATATATATATATATATATGCAGGGATGAAGCTGGTGCTAACTAATGTTAAGTCGTAAAGTGCCTATTCCATTTCTCTAACTTTGATTATCTCTTAGGTCAAGGCCAGGCGTGAGAACAATATCTAACTAACACTCGTGACCAAGGTCGTGAGCGGTCTTTGTTTTCGTGTTGTAATTTTTCAGGAAAATAAAGCTAGGCGCTGTCAGTCCAAAATGGTAATCAACATTTACTTGTAAAATAAAATATGACTAAAAACAAGAAATCGTCGTGTCACAAAAAAAAATGTAAAAAATTCCCATTTCGTACCTGGCGTGTAATAAGGGTAGATGAAGTAGAGTTTATCTATTTCTTGATATCGGCATATGAAGGGATGGTGTGTTTAGCACGATGCTCTGCCGCTTTATCTTTACTTTCCTAAAAGACAGTCACGTACCGACTTTTGCGTTAGTAGTCATCGCTCTACCACCCTACCTCCCCGTCCCTTTATGCCAAGGCCTGTGTTCTCTTTAAGAAAATGAATTTTAAAAACATTTTATTTATCGAACATGGGAGGCCTTATAACACTTGATATCACAATTTTAACTGCTGATAGATAAAACTTGTGCGTCTTTAAAATACATTTTTTCATATAAAACGCAGAACATATTTTTTTAAAAATACTCATATGTCTTACGAAACACGAAAACACAATTTTCCGAGAAATGACATTAACGCGAAGAGTGTGTTAATTATTTTTTTCATCTGATAATGTCGATTCTTGTTACCAAAAAACAACTACAAAAAGTAATAGATATCTTCAACGCCCCCTTTTGTGCTAGAAAAAAGTATCTATATAAGGTAGAATATTTATAAGTCTCTACACTGAAACAACCCGAATCTGATACTCAGTTGAAGGTGTTTGTGGGTACTCAACCATGTGGGGAATCGCCATATGTTCTTTTATTTTTATTTTCATAGGCAATGTGTTTGGTAAGTACTGATGATTATTTTCTTGACAAGTATTTAAAAACATGCTCAAGTTGTAGCTTACATAAATTATTATATAGATAAAAAAAAATTATTGTTGTGATTGATATATCAAATAAAGAGAAACGAGTTGTTTTTTTTTCTAAAATTTTCAGGTTTAAAGTTTACCATGGAGGGGGAAATGTACACTGAGTCCGATAAAGTGTACTGCGGTCAGCTCGTGTGTGTACAGGATCTTGAAAGTCAGGTGGCATCATTGGTCAACATGTCTATTTATAGCATCAGTGATAACAGCGGAAAGGTCATCATTGCTCATCTTTCAGAGCAAGGTTTACTGAAGGTCAAGGACAGTCCGTACCAGGCAGCTGGACAGATGACCCAAACCACAGCTAAACTTACTGTGTCGGTGGAGGGGACGTCTGGGTGTGGTCTCGGCGCCTTCCTCTGCCAGTTGTATTTTGTTGACCCCCACTGGCGTGCAGACGTGAGAGAAGTTTTTGTTTTCCCGCCACCGACAGCAGACGAGTCTAGCCCGGACCTGAAGTTTTCCTTACAGCTGGAAGTCCCGTGGTCAAATAAGCCCGTTGGTTTCAGAAATCAAGGGAAAAGTCTTCAAATTAGTTCGTCCAAAAATTACCTAGGAATGACCTCAGAGGCTACACGTGACCGTTTCAACCAATCAGATGAGGGGAAAGACTTGACCAGAGCCCATGAAATCTCCCTAGAGCTACTTAAAAATTTGGAGATAAATTTAACGAAACAAATAGAATTGAAAATGAAAGAAATAAGTCAAAATGTTACAGAGAAACTGCTTCAGTTCAACGAGGACTTAAGTAGACAACGTAATACTAACTTGCTGTCTATAAAAAACAACAAAACTTATATCGACGGTGATGCTTTGGGGTCTAGCTTGGCGGAAATGGAACAAATATTAAAATCCATTGAGAAAAAATACGACGCAAAATTTAAAATCTTGCAAGAAAAGTTAGAACAAATCAGTACAAACTTAACCGATAGAGTTGTTCAATTAAGCGAAGATATCGACAGAGAACGTAAATATAATGTGACGCCATCTAAGGGCGATAAACAAGACAACAACGATGCTTTGCGTGCATTGGAAACAAATATAACAAACGCATTACGTCTACACTTACACAAATTTGAGGAGGTGAATACAAAATTTGAAGCTATGCACAAGGATACGTTAAATAAGATTATACAGATGAATGAAACTTTAACTGACATAACTGTTCACTATAAACAGGATATCGATAGACAACGTACAGATAATGGAACCTCAAATAAAGAGCGAATCACTATTGATGCTCAACAAGTAACAGACACAAATACGAATAACGCAATGTACTTACAGTTAAAAAAATTACAAGAAGCTTTCAATAAGCGATATGATATTATTCCTGAAGAAACAAGCAGCGAATCCACTAACATAAGTAGCTATGAGGTAAATAGCGCTTATAAAAACTTACATATTTGAAAACCCAACGTGTGTGTGTGTGTGGGGGGGGGGGGGGATCTCGAATAGAAATGTAAACGCCTGAACCTAATACATTCCTGTTTAGTACATACAGAGGAATGTCTACGACCACTAACCAATTACGCCATTAAAACATCGCTGTATTAGACTAAAGTAGGTCAAAATTGAGTTACGCCATTTTACCACATACCCACAGACAAACAGATACAATGAACTAAACAAAAGCTTCTACAAATAGAAGAAAGTTTTTCACTAAAAGCATTTTTTTATATTATGAATGCTCTAGCTGGATATACGAATGTTAGATTCTATTTAGTATATTTGAACTACCAGTTTAGACTGCGAATAAAAAGGGCATATCCCAGCATGTATTATTTTTTTAGTCCAGTAGTAGATCTAGATTTTTCTTCTAGAAAATAATTTGTAAAGGCATAACATGAAAAATCTATTTCAAATATTGATTTTTTTCAGTTGAAGTGCGATAAGAGATCAATGTCGCCTGACTTGCCATCGAGAATTGTGTTGACTCACCCAACCAACAAGAAGATCTTATGTGACACGACAACAGACGGTGGAGGGTGGATCATTTTTTTTGTAATTGATGGTTCTTCTTTCTTTGGGGTTATATTTGGCGTTAATGTTTACAATACTAAATAGAAGACTGATTATTTTAAAACGTTATTTGCGGACGCGATATAAAAAAAAACAAGAAAGAAATGCGTTTTGATAATTGTATGATCTTTTGTGCAATGCAGGAGAAATTAATCTGTAACACATCTTACCTTTTATTTGTAACTATAAAACCAATGGCTGATCCATATATGACGTCACTTTGCTAATTGAGATGAATGTGGTAAATGAATTAATACAATAAAGTAAGTGAAAGTAGAGTTCTCCTTTTTCTGTTATCTTGACATATAAAGGGGTAGTCAGAACTATGCCCAATCACCTTTACTTTCATTAACTTGAGTTAAGTAACCATCAAAGCTGGGTGGACTATGAGGCGTTCTACTGACTCTAACCTGGACTTGAACTCGAGACTTCCGGGTTAGGAGTATAGAGCTAATACGATAAAGCTGACATTTTATTCTACAAACAATAGAAATAATGCATAAAACAAGTTTTATTAACAAGCTTTTAATAATGCACTAAAATGAGAAAATAAATGATTTTCTTTAAATATATAATAATACACTGCTATTTAGATAACTATAAAGAAAAGCGTGTGTCGCTGTCTAAATATTAGTAAAGATATCCAAACGATAATAAAGTGACCCACGCTTTTCTTTATAGTAATTTAAATAGTAGACTATTATTATCTATTTAAAGAAAATCGTTTATTTTCTCGATTTTAGGCCATTATTACATAAAAGCTTTTTATTAAAACGTTTTTTATGCACATTTTTTCAGTACTTCAACATTTTTAAATAATAGCGTTGCATGATTAAAAACTATTGCACACCAAATGAACATGAGAATGCGCGTTAATAGTGCGGAATAATGTAATAGGTCTACCTATTTTTAGAAAATTGTAATTAATTCATTAAAAAATAGTTGGTCATGCAATTAATTAAAATGTAAAGTCATATTGCAATGTCATCGGGTCTTGACCCATGTGCCGAATTCGAAAGAAATTGGTCGTTTAATTGTGTACGAAATTTTGCTCGCCCGTTTCGATCTATGACGACAGACAGATGACGACAGAAGAGGCAAGTTAAAGATAAGCTTGTAAAAAAAATTGCATATATATATATATATATATATATATATATATATATATATATATATATATATATATATATATATATATATATATATATATATACATATATATCAGGGAAATCTTGTATGTATTTTAATTAAATATTTTCAGAGACGTACTGAAGGTGACCTCGACTTCGATGAAACCAGGGAGAATTATAAGCACGGATTTGGTTCTTTTAGTGGCGACTTTTGGCTTGGAAATGAATTTCTAGCTAAAGTTACTGCAAGGGTGAGAAAGCTTCCTTTCACAATAATTTAAGCTCAAATTTTCGATTTATTTTCAATTTATTTTTCCAACCCATTTTGGCGCCCCCTAAGGTCGGCGCCCCCTAATGTCGGCGCCCGGGGACATATGTCCCCCTACACTGGCCCTTGAAAAAAACGTATTTGTAGCGGGGCGATAATAAATGCAATGGGTGTGTCGGTTGAGCTATTGACGTGTATGATGAAATATAAGACAATTCATTCTTTTAAACTGTAATTTCTTTCAAAATTATTAAATTAGCCTTGTTAACCGTAAATTATCCTATATTGATTGATATATAATATTTATATTGATAAATAAGTTTACGAAATTTGCAATTAGCCGACATTTTAAGAACACACACCAAATTATGACATCACTCTCTTTGACCCACGCCCCCCGCCCCCTCCCCCCTCTTTCCCCCAGTTCACACGTCACCCTAAAGGTCAACCCGTCCCAATCTACCCCCTCTTCAGTAGCTGGTCGACAATTAGAAATGACTTCATAACAAATTTTATTAGAGAAAGCAGTTAGTAAAGAGTACATTTAGTATAAGTAAATTATCTATCCTGAATTTTAAATAAAGGAAAATGATTTGTTTAATTTAATTTTCAGTCAATAAAAATTATATTTTGTAACTAATGATAAGTTTAGCAATAATGTTGCCATTTGTATTTTACATTAATTAAAATGTTTGATTAAAATGACCTCACACTTTAAATCGAAAAATATTGAACTTTTAAAAAATTTCAATTTAAATATCATTATCAACAACAACATGGTTTAATAAACCTGGAGTGATCTCCAGTAAACTTTCTCGAATGTCTTATATAACTTGGAATATAGACATGATTTTTAATTACTTAAACTTTTAAAAATAGAATAGAATCTCATAGAAAAAAGAATTGCGCACCAAAGCGAACGCCTTAACAAAATGTGCATAATAGTGCGCAATATTATATAAATTTACGTGCGTTTTTTGAGAAATCGGAAATAGCGTAAATTAGTACTTCCGGTCAACGGAAATTACTCAAAATTTGATAGAATGTAGAGAATTAGATCGTTAACTTACATGTGCAATTTCATTTAGCTATCTAAAATAGAACTCAAGTTATAGGCTTTTGAAAAATTCAAAGTAGAAAAAGTACCACTTCCGGTTATCGGAAATCGCTCAAAAGTTGATACGGATCTACGATTTTGATAAAATACTTATATATGAAATTTCATCAACCTAGCTGTAACGGTACTCAAGTTATCGTGTTTACACACGGACACACACACACAGACACACACACACACAGACAGACACACAGACATACGGACAAGATTGCAAAATTATGTTTTTCCGTATCAGTGAGGTGTAAAACGTCGAGATTTGTAAAAATCTCGATTTTTTTTGTGCACGATTACAATACTTTCTCTATACTTCGTATATACGAGAAAGTAAAAATGTATCGTATGATGACAATTTCAGGGAAATTTCGAGTTGAGAGCTGATATGCGCTACAAAGATAAACCATATTACGCTGTGTACGACTTTTTTAAAGTTGAGAGTGAATCATCCAGATACAAACTAAGGATTGGTGCGTACACGGGCAATGCAGGAAACTCGCTTAGTAGCAACGCAAACGAGAATTTTGATGCTATGGACACCGACACATACAAAAACTGCCCCAGGTTTATTGGAGGAGGTTGGTGGTTTTATTATAATTCTTGTGAATATGGTGTCCACCCAACAGGCTATTGGAAAGTTAAAACTTTAAGAGGAATGTTCTGGAGAGAACTTACTGGAATTAATGATCATGTAGACGAAATAGAAATGAAGTTTAGAAGGAAATAAAACACACGTTAAAAAGCAATAATGATATAAATAAATAAAAAATACAAATAAATATTGACACTTATTTCTCTAATTCATTCATACATTTGTTATGCACATCTCTACATGGGTCGATGGTTGTACATTTTCACATGTCACACATGAGCTAATGTTCTGATGTCATAAATGTGTACATGTTCAGATGTCATATATATTTTGTACATGTTATTAGTTTGCTTATCAGTCACAGTGATTTTAAAATGTGTATATAAATGTTTGTTATTAATTGTAATGATCGAAAGGATTTCCTTCAACACAATTAAGTATTATGTGTAATAAAAACGTTATTCGCCAGATAGGCTGTTGACTTCAATTTCAGGCTTTTTTTCTAAATTTGATTTCATATCCATTGTCCACTCAAGAACAAACTACAAGGCAGCAGATGCTTAATTTTGGAGTTGTCTCTCCTCCATAGGTTGCTCTCCCCAGCTATCGAGCCTATCCTGCCGACGGGGTCAAACTTGCAGACCCTAAACATGTTGATTCGATATATTATTACTTTGCTAAGAAATTTTTAAAAAATCAGCTTTATATATATTTCTAAATAAAAATAATTTTCCAGTAAATTCCAATATAATTTTAAAAACTTTTATGCGACATATGCTTTGTTTTGTGTATAGCGTTTACAAATCTCAGGAGAGTGGGAAAATGCATTTTATGCATTTATACCAAAGTTGTAAAAGCCGGAGAATTGTATCACACCTGTAATTGATTGTCAGATCCGAACCGCCTACCTTTACTTACTGCCCAGGACGAGTTGTTGCTACTTTTAGAGAGGTAATTATGTGCACGCACTGTTTCTACTATAGCAACCGCACATTTTACTCCTTGGAGAATAAACATATGACAAAACTCGTTTCATGGTGTATTTATGAGTCAAAGTTATCACAAAATCAATAACATAATTATACATATTCAAAGTACATTTTTTATCATTTTAGAACCAGTGTGGAGTAAAAAAAATCAAGAGAGAATAAATATTTTAGTTTTGTTTAGCCAAGCAACAACTTGTGTACTTATACTATATTTATGAAAATTATATTAGTGTTAAAATATTTAGCATATTTTAGGCCAAATTTAGAAATCTGATAACAGATCTAGTACTAAACTATAAGATTGACTGGTCAATTGTTTTTTTTTTTAAATTTTATTTATAAATGTCAGTTCGATATTATGCAGACAATATCTCTCAGTTACTTATATAACACGTTCGCATTGTAGCTTCCTTTGATAACAGTTATTGTTTATAACACTAGCGTGGTTGAAAACATCTCTATACTACTAAAACTCAACTTTGTTTACATGTTTGAATATTTATTTGTTTGTCTGATTTGGTACTGTAGAGAATCTGCTATATATGGAGAGCTGTAAAATAGTAGACAGACTGTTAATCACAAATTTATTTAAAAACGTTAATTAATTTATTGATTTATTCATAGGTAGATTAACCACATTAATTTTAAAAGTTTAGAAACACGACTTTATTTTGAGTGAATCGTGACGTCACATGATTTGTTTACTTTTTAATACAATAAAATTGCGGTTCCAAAACAAAATTTCGTGGCCCATTCAAACCAATAACGCGTCATACAGCTAATTTTCTTTCGGCTATAACTTTAAAAATACGTCCGTTTGCTGTATTTATTTCGTTCCAACACTTATAGAATCTATAAATTTTTAACTGTCTTTTTCATTTAGTTTTACAATAAACTTCTCTAGCTCTACAATCTGTCCAAGAGAGTTATCTATTTATAGATCTAAAATCAGGTGGCCAAGAAAGTTATTTATAGAAATAGATCTAGAATCTAGGTCAAACCAAAGATTAATTAGATAAAAAATACAATACATTTTAAAATCATAATACATTTTTGAGTTTCTTTATTAAACTACTTTAGTCCTTAAATACTTGATATAAATCTTTGTGATTTACCTATCTAGATCTAGAATAGGTCTAATATAGATCTAGACTGTTTAGATCTAAATCTAGATCTAGCAAGAGTTACGCAAAAACTAGACTTAAGGAAACCAGTCGTCGAATATAGATAATTCTATCTAGATTTAGATAATAATGAGTTTGTATATACTAAACTATTTCAGACCTTTATTATTTTATATAATCTTTGTTTGTTTAGCTATGTAATTGGCTAATTTAAGATAAAATTTAATTTGAAAGTTACTAGACTTAGATCTAGATCTAGATGCGCGTAAATCAAGTTGCATAAGGAGACTCAAAGTATATTACAAAAAAACATCAGTGACGTCACGAGTCTAGATAGCTAAGTTGTTTGTGTAACAGGCTTTCATGCGGGTGGCACGGGTTCTAGACACATCAAGTCGATGTTAAAAAAAAATTTCAATTTTTTTTTTAAAGATGTGAATGACAAAGTTGCCTATCTGAACTTGGCGGGATACAGGGCAGGTGAAGTAGATTTCATCTGTTTCTTTGTCCTAAGCATGTGGAGGGATAGTGTGGTCAGAGACATGCTAGGCCGGAATCGTTTATTTAAACGATAATAACATGTTGTCTAAGACTTGGCGGAACACTGGGCAGGTGAAGTAGAGTTGAGTAGGTCACATGTGACGTCAGTATATGAAGGGAAAGTCCGAAATCGGTGTTTTTAAAAGATAGAAAACATCGTTTTGAATGTAGGGTCTGGTTATTTTGTGATGATAAGTGACAGACGTGATGTCATTTATGGATGACCCCCGAAACCCACAGTTATCCAAGGGATGACCGGGTAAGTCTAGTTTCTATTAAGTTTCTAGTTTTATTCAGACATTTTGCTCAAGGGGTAGGTATCTGCGGCTTCCGGTGTTTGTGTGAGAGATGCTTGAGGGCAAGTACTACTTTCATCTCAACATACTCTAGTCATTCTTACGGTTTGACATAGCTGGACCAAATTATTCCTGATGTGCAACCAACAGCACATCTCCCCTTGATGTTGACAAGGTAATCAAGAGAGAGAGTCACCAACAACCTTAACAGTCCAACGCGCAACATCCCCCACACCCCATTCACTTCTGGCAACTGAATAACATTCCCAATGGATGAAATACTAATATGCAAAAGTAACCAGACATTCTAACACGCTTACACAACAATAGCAATGTAGCAAGGCATGCAATGTAAAGTTTGAAGGAAAAAAATAGATAGACGATTCTATTGGTATAAGCTCTAAAGTCACAGAATTGTCTAAAGAAATGTTAGCCTAATTTCTTTTTATTTTAAATATTGTTTACAAGTGAAATGTGCGTTTGATGATACACAAAAATGCAAATAAAAACATGCAAATAGACATAGTTATTAAATCTTTATTGTGCGTAAGATAAAAGAAAAACGGTAAAACAAAATTCGACAATATAATTTCGATGTTTTATATTACATTTTTGTAACATATTTGAAAGAAATATAATGCAGGCGTTTTATCTAAACGTTATTACATCTCTGTTTCACGAACAGTTTGGTATGAAATATATGTTATTTCCTTCTAAACTTCATTTCTATTTCGTCAACAGAATCTTGGAACCCAGTGACACCATACCAGTTCAGTCCACTGTGAGCTTTAGCTTTCCAAACACCTGTGGGGTGGGAATCGTGGCAACTACCGTACCACCAACCGCCTTTATAAGTGGCGGCACAACTACGTTGGCTCCGATCCCTGTCAAAAGTAGAAAACACTCTGTCTTTTTGGTGATCTTTAAGCGAGTCCCCAGCATCGCCCGTGTAGTTCCTTATCCTCAATCTGTATCCATCCGCTTCACTCTCTACTTTAAAACTGTCGTAGACGGCGTAGTAAGGTTTATCTTTGTAGCGCATATCAACTCTCAACTCAAAGTTACCCTGAAGTTTTCAAAAGAAGAAAAAACATTTTAAACTATGCGATCGTTTAATGGTCCCATGTTATCCGTGTAGCATCCGTAAATTGTACTATTGTTAGACTAAATAACAGAAATATGTGTGTACCAAAATACAATAGAACAAAGGGCGACAACCAGGTCTCTAATGTGGCACCTAGATCAAGATGGTGTACGTCTGACAACTTCTAGTTTCCTTTTTGCCTATTGCTAGTTTCCCCATGTGAACATTATTTTCTGGCAACATACAGTATGAAACTTACTACTTGTACCTATATTCGACGTTTGTAAAATTTTAAGTCATTTTATGTTTGATAATGAGCTGTAGTAGAGAGTGTGTGTGTGTGTGTGAGAGAGAGAGAGAGAGAGAGAGAGAGAGAGAGAGAGAAAGCGCGTGCGTGCGTTCGCGTGTGTGTGTGTAATTGACGTGCGGGTGTTGTTTGGAGCATGGAGGATGTGACCCCGGCGTGGTCTAGACTTTAAATACCCGTTTGTTTACTCGGAAAGTCACGAGAACGAAACTGACTTAAGACCGTAGACCGTTCCCCGATTAAACTGCCCCACTAGATAAACAAACTGGCCAGTATCTGAGGGGAAGGAACAAAAAAGCCTGACGGAAACCCGAAAATATATATTCTCTATTCTTCTGCCGCCTATAGCTGTACGAACATCCGAAGGGGACAGACGCCAGAATGGGCACTTGCCAGAATTATGTTAATAAATGGACACTTGCATTAGGGCAAATGTCAATACGGGATAGCCTTCGAGCAAACGGCAAGTGTCTTTCGGGAATTCGTCTTAGCCGTCCTTTATGCACGGCCCATCTTTTTTCGATTACTTGTGAAACTGCTTCCATTTTCATTTCTCTTATTAACCTAGCATTGCAGATGTTGTTGGGCCAATGGATGCCCTGTGTCCATTGTAGACACTTATTTAGAAAGAATGCAGTGATTGTGAAAGATTTCAGTGATTGGATGGTAGCGGTGGTTACCTTCCAGCATTTACTGTCATGCCAATGTACGCGCATAGGTCCCAGGATCAACAAAGAAAAGACAGAAGTGATGAAAATTAACAATAACCAGGAGGCCCCAGTGACAATAGAAGGAAGACTGATAAATGATGTGAAAGAGTTTGTCTACCTTGGCAGCAAAATCAGCTAAACGGGAGGCACAGAGGAGGACATAAGAGCTAGAATTAATAGAGCCCGCTGCGCTTTCACAGTTCTGCGACCCATATGGAAAAGTTCTGCAATCTCCATTACCACAAAAATTAGGAAATTTAACTCAAATGTCAAGGAGCAGAGACATGGAGAGTCTCCAAAGCAAGCACAGCAAAGATACAGACCTTTATGAACATATGCCTTAGACAGATATTGAAATTAAGATGGCAGGACAAAGTGCTGAACATAGAATTATGGAGAAAAGCAAGGCAGGAGCCTATGGGTGTGCAAA